TCTAGAAATAAAACGGACTTGGTCATCAATTAATTGAAACTCAACACCTAACCCATATCCGGCTGTTCAGCTAGAATGGTAAATACTAAATTGGATTAAATTGAACGTACACGACTGGTGGACTAATAGTCCCGTATGTACTAACGATGACTGATGGCCACTGGACACGTTTAAGGTTGGAATAACGAATGTATGAGCGTGGGAATATGACACGGCTCTATGTTTTGTGGGTGTCTATGGTCTTTCCATAGAATAACTGGTTCGGTGCCAAATAAATGTATCGATAACTTGACTATAGTATCAAATTAAATATAGACACATTATGAATTGTTTTTAAGTAATTTCAAAACAAAAATAGTGTTCGAGAAATATCTGACACGGTGTATCCACTATTGTTACTGCTAAAGTTATTGCTACTTTTAAACTCCCAAGAACTGGCCTACAAACTACTATAAAATGAAAACATTTTATGAAATAATGCTGCATACAACGTCATATTTATAGTTAATTTCTATTTAATCCATTTAAAATACGTATTACTTGTGCGAAGAATCCTACTTCCTACTAATATTATAAACGTGAAAGTTTGTATGTGTGGATGGATGTTTGTTACTCTTTCACGCAAAAACTACTAAATGAATTTCAATTAAACTTTCCAATAATATAGCTAATACATCAGAATAACACATAGGCTACAATTTATAAATATATTGTGTGAGCTGTCCAAAATATGCCATTAAGTTTCAAGCAACTAGGAAAAAACCTACTTTTTTGCGAGCTATTCTGGCGTGCGCTACCATAAACGTTAGTTACACGTATTTATGTCATAATGTTAGTTCTTTTCTACGCCACGCTAATATAAGCTACTCCAAATACTAATCTTGCGTCGACGAAGTCGCGGTCACCATCTAGTTAAAAATTAATTTAGTTTGCAATTTTATAAAAAAAAAACCAATTACAAACCAATTGTTGGGTTATAGAATTACTATCGATATTTGTATACGATTTTATCTTGTTGTTACTATACAGTATTAAAAATAGAAATTCACGATCTACCAAATGAAAATGACACTGTTTTTACAGCACACAATACAAGTAGTACGTATAGGTGGCTACGACGCCCATACGTACTACTTGTATTGTGTATATGCGATTGTGTGTAAAACCAAATCTCTAGAGAGGTTTAAACAATGATTGTTATTATATTATACAAATAAGTAGGTAAGACAAATCTAGAACATGTCTGGCTATTTAGTCCTATTTATAAAAGATCGCCTCTCTTATAGGAAAGAGGGCTTATGATGTTAAAATCACTGTGTTTCACTGTAGATTGGGTTAAAACAGCTATCTTGGCAAAAAATCGACGACATTATTAGAAATTATCATAGAAAAAATTTATATTATATCAAACCATTTTTATTCCTAGTATTAATGATGATTTGTAATTTGAAAAAAAAATATATTATCTGTGGTCTGTGGAACAAGAATATTACATACTCTACAATCGACATCCATCTTACAGTCAAGCTATAGGCTAGCAAATTATTTTCATAAAAATGAAAATAGGTGCTATTTTAATAACTATTTTCATTATACATAGTAAAGGTTTAAAATTTGTACGTATGCATTTTATTGTCTAAAACTATACCGCTACATTTGTGTGATAAAATTCAATTGTTCTATCTGTCATCGCGTAGTTTATAGTCTGTAGTGTCATTGCGTTTCCCATAGATTATATTTGATTGTTTTACGTCGGGAACCCTTCACCTTATAAGTGCCCGCATTCAAAGGGTCCTTGACGTTTAATGAATTCCTAGCGATCCTTTTGCGGTTTGCGTGAGATAAGCAAGTTTGAAATTTAATATAAGGGCTGTTAGTCGCTTTTTAAATTGCATTATGGCTGATATAAACGCACATTTTAATGACTGCCTATTTGAAAGTCACGCGTTGTTTTCATACTATTTTAAAAGTGTTGGGTGGATATTGTTTTAGAAATGCATGTTTTTAGCAGCTAACACAGCTTTATTTTGATACATATCGTTATAAGTTTATACGTAAAGAATTAATATAAGTATTGTCCGTAAATTATATTATTAATGGGTAAACGAGAATGTATGCACATGTAAACAACGTCCACGTATGCTTTGCGCCAAAAATTAAAAGCCATAAATATTCAATTATCATTAACAAGACTTATAATCATATTTAAAAGTTACTTATATACATAAATCAAATGTTTATGTCTATACAGGAAATACATTGTCAATTTAAAATTTTTGAGAAATAATTCGGCACGGTTATTAATCTACGGAAGCGGTCATACTGTTTTTAGTATAATACAGGTCGAACCAACTGTGCCTGCAAATAAAATCGATCAATGAACTTAAATTAATTTGTGTCTATTCTATGGCATCAATTTTCACGTTATTAGCATGTAGTTATTTATCATAGACACAACAGATTATAAAAAAAAGTCCCTCAATGAGCTCAACCCTATGAAACTTCGTAATTTCCTAGGGAAATGTCGAGATAAAGGAAAGCTACAATGCGTGTTACTTATCTCGCTCTATGTAGGCTACTGATATTTATGGAGGCCTGGTACCACAACGTAATATTATGTAGCCCCAGCTAACTTTTGTTGAATTATGCTTCGTTTTTTTTTTATGAAACTGTTCTTTATACAGTCGAACTAAGAATTGGAATACTGTTAACTGTGTCAGGGCAGACATATTTCTGTATCTGTTATAGTGATGGATTTTATTACTAGGGTTAAGAATTCTGGCCACGTAATAGAGAACACTAGACAATGCTTACCACGACGACGACGAACAGATGTCCTAATTATGAAATACTTACACAAACAAACAATATAGTTGTGACCAAAAACAAAAATGCAATTAAATATAGAGAATAGAAGAGTAAAAAAGCGTCGAAAATGTTACATCGGGAAGTTGAGCAATAATTTTCCATTACATTGACTATAAACAGACTACCCAAGCAACGTAAACCGAATTGGATTAAAATGCATATTATAAAGCTTTGGACTTACGCCAATATATCCAAACCAACTGTCCAAATGGGCAGCGCCTGCATCAATATAAATATTGATGCATCAAACTTCATTGATTTTTAATACTCGCCGAGATTCTGGTATCCTAGTACCAGTATTTTTACATTACTTATTTGGAACATACACAAAATAAGCCAATTTTCTAGTAATCTGACCAAGTAATTCAGCGGCGGAAAAGAAAGAACGAGATGCGTCTTAATTTAGAGATTTATATTTTCAGAATGGGAAAGTTATTTTTGTTAGACAAAGATGTCTTTTGGCTCTCGTAGACTCATAACAACTTGGAGTGTGGTAACCACTCATATGTAGTTATCAACTTGTGAAAAATATATTATATTATAAATTTTCTACCAAATAATGCATTTGTTCTTTATATACCTTCTTTATTTGTAATGATATTATATCGATACATATAATATTTACAGTGGATTACCGAATACCCAAAGCCAAAATAGTTCGACAGTGCATCGAGAAATATGTTGTAGGGCTAGGATACATCTCACCTTCCATCAAGTAAATCCTATGCCGGTCTGTCCTCTTTTCATAAAAAATTTCTATTTTTTTATACCAGCTTTTAATAGAAGTGTATATTAAATAGATCCATAATATTGTCCAAATGTTTGTCTATTATTACCTAAGTTACGCAAATGCACCATAGACTAGATCATACCATAGACGTGATATGTGAAACCCGTTACATAAAACGCATAACACAGGCAATGTTAATGATAGCAATTAACGACCGAAGCGTCTTAGACACGTTGTTTTAACATCTAATTAGCTCGGTTCTTCGCAGGCTCAAATTAGGTCGCTGCGACCAACTCACGTTGCATAATCTTTTTCTGTGCGCTATGGTAAGTCAAGTCTCACTCAATTCAAGTTACGTAGTGGCGAATACGGAGGTATGCCATTTTTTGTTAGGTTTTTTAAGTACTTTATGTTTTAGGCCGGTTGTTGATAGGGTTTTAATAGGAATCTTTCACAGGTCAACGGTATATTTTAAAATGACATAATATTTGATCAATTCGCTCTAATCTACACACTGCAGGACAAGGTTTGCAGAATTTTGTCTTACACTGTCTAATTTCCCGCTCATCTAATTTTCTAGTAAAAATACAGGCAGTCTTTCTGAACAAACAAAGTACCTACTTTTAAATAAATTTAAATATCATGTCACTGGTTGACTTGTATAGATTGTCTAATTTAACTAATACATATCAATATTAATATATTACAAAATATTATCCTTTTTACTCTATCTATGTTTTGTCGGTGTGTACTGCAATATAACGCTTCATGCCACGCCCACCATAAGCCACGTTCATCGTGAATGTCAACTTCGATTACTTTTCCTGTCCTTACCTGACGTAGAAGGTTTTCTCCATTGTAACATCAAAAGTTTTCCGACCGAGGACCAAGCCACAAAGGAACAGCTATAGAACGTCAGCTAAAGAACGGCTTTATTTGTAAATGAAAGATTTTTATATGGCATTGCTATACGACAGATCTTTGCGAGTATTGTCAGTTATGGAACTGGTTGTAGCCTGTAGGGGTGTGTGAACGCATGCGCTAAATCCAAGGACACGAATAGTCGCTCAGTCGGTCGGGAGGCTTCGCCGCGGATGCCTGACCTACAGGCACAGCGGAGTGCCGCATAGATTGACGCGCGAGATTAAGCCGAGGGCCGCATGCAAGGCCCATCTGACTCTCCATCAGGCCGCAGAGCGACCTTGAGCACCGAGGCCCCCCGGGCCCTGCGATTCAGCCTTGTAATTGGGTTTCAATAGCGATACCGTTGCTATTCAATAGCTTTTCGCTTCCATCGCTTATCGAGTTTCGCTTTGTGTAGATGCTTTTACTGTTTCCAAAATTTTCAACCTCTGACTTATGTAATATATTATGACACTGCGGAGTGTGACGCGGAGTGAAAATGACTTGTTGGGAGAGCGTAGGATTTCTCGGTCCTTGCGCGTTACTAGCGAGTTCTGCTCTCAGGGTGAGTTCTATCAAGGTTACGTTACGGTACACCGCGTGACTGGCGCAGATCGTAAAATGTTGAGTGCTCTAATCTAAATAAGAGCACCCTAATTTATTAATGAAAGCACTCAGCCACGACTGTTGATAAAAGATAAGGGCGATAATGTTTTCGCACGTAATTAGCTCCCACAACCTTATCGCGGAGGAGACAATGATGTTTTTCATAAATATGTCAATTAAACTTAATGATACATCCCGATTTCTTAAAAACAAACCGATGTAAACATTTGCATTTCCTAATTATCTGTACGATTGAGTTTTAATCAGTCCGTCATAGAAACTAAACCAGATAACATGGTTTCATTAGTTCTGCTTACGACCGAGGAAGTTCTACAACGCAACGGCTTTTGGTACTGTTTAGATGCCATGTGGATCACTGAAGACTTGGAACCATTCGAGGAAGTCAAGCCAGATCATTTATTTTCCAAGCCGCTTTCTAGAGATATTTATTACGCTAAGTATCCAGATATACCGAGAAGTGAATCGGAAGATGAGAATTCCTTTAGCGTCCGCGGGTTTAAGACAAAACATCAAGCGTGGAAATCAAAAATACGAATCAGAAAACTAGAATACCGAAGATACTCAACTGAATCGACACACTGTTTGTCCTGGAGAAACTCTTTTCCTGAATCAACAAGAGTTACGTCATTGGTGTACGCCAAGAGTAAGGACCAAATGACTGCAGAAAACGACGAAAGAGCTCGTGAGTTCTTTAACCGTTTGATCGCAAATGTTCCACCTCCACCCGTAGAAGATATCCAAGATTCTATTCTCAAATTGCCGAAAGGAGATGAAATGTGCAACCTAGATTTACCTGATTACGCTGATTTTGCCAAAGAAACTAAAAACGAGAATGAAAACACAAATGGACCTACTACATCAACATTGAAAAAAACAAAACGCAAAGTGGATTTTAGCGCGAGTTCATTAAAAAGCGACTCAGATCGTTGCGATTCGTGGCATGAAAGCATATACGGCATGTCGGGAATAATGGATGGCCCTTCAGATGGCTTGCACATGTTGAGTGACGCGGTATCCTGGTCTGAAGTTATCGACATGTGCGATAGTGCTTTGAAGAGCACGGAGTCGGTAAACTCCGAGAGGATCATAAGTCAATCGTACCGCGGCCGTTCTTTATCGAGTGTATCCCTCCATGACGATGCAGATTACGAGAGATTTGCAATACATAAACTAAGAAGATCTTTCAAACTCTCCGTGCCCGATTCATCTTCTTTGCGTAATATCGGTGATTTTGACGACTTTCCTTCAAAGCAAGCAACGCAAAACCGACCTGCATTTGGAACACTTTATCGTTTAGCTCCAACTCAAGACTCGGTAAAAAACAAGCTTGAAATTGGATGCCCTGAATCTTATTGACCGTGAAATGTAGAAATAAAATATATTTTAAAATAATTCTTCTTTAATTTATGTTTTACATTCTGACTTCTCTTCCTGTCTAGTAAGTAGTGCTGTTGTAGTGGTGTGTCCGTTCGCTATTCTTATGTTAAAGTCAAAAGTATAATTAATAGATTTATTTTTGTCGTAGCCTCCTGAAAACGAGCTGCAGAAGAATTCCGATCGAGTGTTATCTGAACACGAGTTGCGAGTCCAGAGGTCCTTGCAAAAACTCAATGTTCCAGAATGGTAAGTTAATTTTTTTTGTATGACGTTGAAACAAGTAAATAGTTGAAAAATATTTATGAAATAGTTATGATAGAATACTGTCTATAGTTTACGCGAGTAGTACACATTTAAATAAAACACTTTAACGGTTTAAAACGCGATATATTAGTTAAACTTATTTGGAATGATTTTACTCGGCCGACGTTTCAGCAAATGATTAAATATTTAAATAATATATCGCGTTTTAAACCGTTAAAGTGTTTTGTTTAAATAGTTATGATAGTTTCATCGATTCTAAGGAGTTTACCTTTTACACTTTTACTGCCAGAAATATTATTTGTAAGCTTTTAAAGATGGATTTTTTAAAAGTATTTTATTTTGTTCAGGTACAAAAATGCCCCAGCCCCGCGCGAGGGTTTTCTCTTACGGAAGCGGTTGTCTGACGCCTCCGCGTCCGCCGGCAGGTGGAGTGGACTCAACTCGAAGACTACATCTTTGGGGAGCCTCGGGGCGAATGCGCAACCTCCACCACCCCAGCTCTCACCACACACAACCAGCTTTGGCCGGTGGTCTACAAGTCGGCTTAACTCGAACCAAGTAAGTGAAAGCTGACTTTTACCAAACTGTGATGCCGCTTATTTAGGATTACTAAGCTAGGTCGAGCTGTGTACCGTAGTATGGTTAGAACAAACCATCGTCAACAAAAGTATTATGCTAAAAAATTTGCTGTATATTAGATGAGAAAAAAGCTCTGTAAATATTTGGTGTGTACGTGTATATGCAATGTATTAAGGTTTGATGTTGTGAAAAATAAAGTGATATAATTACTAATTGTTATTAATTAATAATTATTATTCAATAATTAAAGGCAATAATGTCATGTGAGGCTGCTAAGCATCCAAAACTTCGGGCTGCAGTTTAAATCAATTATAAATATATTTCGCATTTTAAACCGTTAAAGTATATATAAACTACAGATTATACTCAACTTACATCAGCCATTCTTATTTCCATACTGGTCTGTTTACATTTAAAAAACTGAATGTCATTCGTCCTTGTAATAAAAACGTAAACAATTCACTTTTGTTATAAGCAATTATCGTACGTAAAGCAAGTGTAATCATCAATTAGGAATTATTTCAGTTCTGTTTTCACTGCCAAAGACGACAGTCATGGTAAGTGTTTATGGGTTTCGTTGAATCTCGACAAATTTATGATCAATAAAAAAGACGTCGTGATACATTAACAAATTCATTAGGACTATTTATATAATTAAATGATTGTTTAGATAACTCCGTCATTATGCAAAATTTAGGTGATTTTTTTTGTTTTATTATTTCAATCTTTACAATTATCTGCCATTATAGAGTAGAAAAGCGATGCTATATTTACTCATTTTGTTACTTAAGCAAGAGACTGATTACCTTAATAAACCATAAACAAGTAAGTTCGTTCTGTCTAACGAGGTTTCATCCTTCCAGACTTCGCCATGTTCTTCGACGAGAAGCAGCATCCGTGGTGCCAGTCCCCTATGCTCTCCATCAACCAGATCTTCATTCAGCGCGCGACAACCCTACCTGGGCTGGCGTAGTCAAGAGAGGTTGAACTCTACACCACGCACGCCACATGAAAGGTAAATCTTCGCAATTTCTTTTAAGATTTTCAACTGTTTTTTATTTGGTATCTGTTTAACGGGTTCTAGTTATGGTTCTTTTTTTTTTCAAAACAATCTAAGTGACGGCAAATGAAATATACCTAGAGATTAGTTTTTTTTGTTCATGGCCAGCATTTTATATCATTGACAACGTAAAAAGATATACATAGATAGACTTGCGCTTTTATGTAATCAAAAGTGCCAATCTCATCTACAATAGATTTATTTTTAGTTCAACCAAAGTTGAGCGTCTGAAATTCATTGATGCGTGCTTTTCTAGTTCACGGCTCTTTCATCTATGAATGCTGATTCGTGACCTGAAATATCGATTCATATTTTTAGAACTATGAAAATTTTAGACACTGCATCCGTTGTAAGCTTATTTTTATTATTTAAGTTTTTGAAATAGTGCTGCTTTGTAATTCAGGCAAGGTTGAAGATCAGAAAGTCCAAGGGCAACGTCAGATGCTATTGTTTCAGTAACTGTAACTTAATCATCTTGATTCTTGACATACGTCGTACATAATTAAAATCGCTATACAGATTTAGTCGTATTATAAATAATGGACATATTTCATAAAAAATATACTTAAATGATACATTCAAAACACATATAGAAAATTAAATATCGGCTTTTTTTCTTTAGTTCCCACGTCCACTAAAACACCGAAGTCAACAAAGATAGTAAAGTTTTCTAAACAAATACTGATCATGCAATTTCTATTACAATTTACATAATTCTGTTATAGTCAGCGTTATAATGCTATATTTTAATATGATGTTATAAGAGTCCTGATTGTTATTAATTGTTTCTAGTCACACTATTAAGCGTGCTTGTTACGGCTTTAATCTTTTTTCCGTTAAAAACCGAGTAGCATGTGAAGGGTTAAATGATTTTACAAATATTTGTCTCCGAACTTTGTTTTTTTTTTCAATATAATATATATGTGCACATTTTTATAGAAATTTACGCCATTTTAGCCACTACTTATTACGTGCAAGAATCGCAATTTGTTGGTGATACAAAATAAGTCATTGGCACAAAGTTGAGCTTCCTCGCTTGAAATTTATTATATTTAAATTCCGCAACCGAAAAACCTTTTCAATTGTTTTGTAAGAAACTAACTTACTTTCCAGACTAGCATCTTCTCTTCTGCAGCAGACAGCTTCAAGCAAGGCTTCTGAAGAGATACAGACGTCCATTAAAGAGGTCACATCAGCTATAGTCCACTACGTGTCTGGTCTGGAGCCGGCGAATGGCGACTTAGATGATAGAGCATCGCCGCGGTCTAATCAGAAGTTGTATTGGTTGGAGAGTTCTTTTGTTGGTAAGTAATGTTACTACATGTATTTGCATAGATCTGTTTTCAATTAGGGTATTCCCCGTTCGTAATTTAACTTGGAACTCCACTTATGAAATCAGACCATTATGTATAATACAGGAACCAGAATTTATAAGTGTGCGCAGTCTGTGGTCAAAAATGTTAAAAAAGAACAAATATTTTGCTAGTTAAAGCCGTCTCTCGTAGTAACAATAACTATTTAAAAGTACTTTTTATAACAACGACAAACAACAAACCTTTGTGAAATGATAAAAATATAGATGTTACGATTATACCACAGTCGTTGAGTTACTTATAGAGATAATCCATAAACATTCGTTTGAACGTCACTTATTGCATTACCAACCTACAATTGTATTTGGATTATCTGCTATTTACCTATATACTTAAAATAACCCCGCTCAGTGCAATCTAATTAAAATTAAATACAGCTAATTGTATTAGGTACTAATGAAATATATTCTTTTTACAGGAACGAAACCTCTCGATTCGCCGCAAACGCCCCTCGTGGTTACGGAAGCGTTGCCCCCACCACATCCGCGTCCGCCATCTTCCCTTAGGCTCGAGCACCGCGCGGCGCCCGGTGAGCGAGCGTGACCCACAACATAACATACATTGCAGGTTTTCTTATAAACGCGGAAACATTCCTCAAACCGAACTAGACACTTACATCGAAATCGTAGCGGTAGAATTTCTCCAACAAACTAAATTTTATTAGAAAATAAACATACGACTGATTTTTAAAATGCAAGGTCAGTTTGGCCACAGATAAAGGTTAAAAATTCATGATTCATTTTAAAATTTACCACAGACTATTTACACAGCTATGTTTGATAGCTTAGAATTTCAGTTTGTGTACAGTTCTTATGTAGAATCTATTTTATAACATAGTTTGGAGACATGCAATGCTTGTCTTCGGCTTAAAATTCTGCGCTTATTGTATTTCGATATATTTGATGACTAGACCACAATTCCTTCGTGCATACAGTACCTGAATTTTAATATGCATTTACAGTTGAAACCTGCAATGTTTGCGTAAAGTATTTGTGCTATTTTAGTTATCTGTGAAATTAAGTTGATAGTGTCATTTTGTGAGATGTAACAGAGCTTTATAAATGTTCTATAGACTCAGGACCATTCACGATTGTTCTAATTTGAATTTTAAGCACAGAATTTACACGTACTCATATTAGTACAATTTATTTATTTTGCAAGGACACCGGCTTGTAGTTGCTTCGGAGAGTCATGTCGCTTCGCTGTCATTTGTCTCATTATCTTGGCTGTCAAAATTATCACATGTCAAGTGTCATTTTATATTTTTCTTATATTTTATATGTTTTGTATTGCCTACGGAGAATACCATTTCTGTTTTATTCATGCATTTGTTTTAAGTGTTCTTATTTATTTAATGGCCAGAACACAAATTTCACATTTTAAAACATATCATATACAGTGTTATTTTCAAACACCCATCTGAAATAGGTAATGATTAGTCATAGATAAGTTAAAAAGTTATTGCCATAATTTAATAACTTGCGCAAATTTACACGAATCCAGTTTTATAATTTGTAAATACATATAAATTAGTTTGTTTGTGTGTTTATTTTTTGATGCAAATCTGTAGTATTTGAGATTTGAAACTAGTTTTTAATTTTGTACATACAGTAACACGACGCTATTTTTAATTTTAGGTGCTAATTTGCTGTTACCCACTTATATTTCATTAAAATAATGTATGTTAGTGTTTATTAGTTTATGTAGTTGGAGGTCACAAATAATATAAAATATGTTATGGCTATATTTAAAAGTAGTTTAAAACATATTGTGGCAACATTTATCAGAACCATAGACTAATGGTGGTGAGAAGTGACATAGACTATAGTCTCAATTCAAGTTCCTTCTACTAAATCACCTCGTAATTTATGTTGGGGCCTCGCCCCTAAGTAAATTACACAGGTTCTGATTAGGATAGAAATTCACGTATGCGTTGGACTGTTCGCACCGCCGAGAAATACATTCGAAAGCGCCCCGATGTTATAATTAAGTCGAAACTACGCAGACTACGTTTTCATAATTACAGATAAAATATAAGCGAAAGATCCATTCTTGTTTATCCCTTATATTTATAACGCCAAGCTCAACAAATTATTTACTTTTCAATTGCTCATAAAAAATTAACAATTGTAACGGCGGCAAAATTAATCCATAGATAAGAGAAGCTCTCTAATGAGAATGTAATATTAGTTGACAGATGTAGACGTATAAACAAAAGAGTATCTAATATAGCTATTAATGTATTTTAGAGAATCTCGGAACCTTGTAGTTGTTTGATTATAAATTCTAATGTCTTGAACCTTCACTTGAATTGTATCTACTTTTAGTTTATTTTACGTATGATGATTATTATTGAATATATTCAGTTTTATTTTATATTTTGTTTCATTTTTGTTTAAGTGGCGTTTTCTGTTTTATATTTTGCTATTGTTAAACTGTAACTATTTTAATGGTAAGTAACAAAGTATTAATTTTCAGGTTTCATATACGCATAAGCATTTAACACTGCTTCATACACTTTTACATGTTACCAAATAAATTGTTATATTCACCATTACAGCTTCTGCAAGCAAGTCGTGTATAATGTAGTGATTTTCATCAGTCATTGAAGTTTTCTTGAAGTTGTAATAATGATTTCTCTTTAAAAGGTTTCAATTATTTAAAAGCAGTCTTAAATTTTAAGATGGCACCACTATTACTTAGTTTTGACAGCTGCCATTTGGAATTGTCTGTTCCTTTGTAACCCTTCCTTTCTCTAAATAATTACACTACCATCTAGTGTAATTATTTAGAGAAAAGAAATACCCCAACTATGTACATTAATAGAAAAAATATCAAAATTGACGATCGAAAACTTACAATAAACGCCACATTCTTTCAGACTGGCAAGATTCCCAGCGTTCATTGAATGTGGGTATTACAAAACCTTCCCCGGGGTCTACCACATTGGAAGATGTATTGGACTCACTTTTAGGACTTCCCTCACAGCCCGCTAGAATTCCTACGCCTCAGCCGAGCCCTAGGAAATCGGCGAGCCCCTACTACATGCTGGGTGGGAAGGTAGGCATTCAAAATGTATATATTGGCAGACTGAAGGAGTTATTTCCCCATAAACAAATTGTTATAGGACGACTGACAGATGTCAGTTATAATACCTAATTCATTCTAATCAGTCGATCTCACTGCCTTAGCTTTTCAACTGGATTTGTTTCTAGAGTCCAAGATATGAACAGTTAGCCAGTAGTGGTCACAGCAGTGCGTCTGCTGCTTCTCGTTACATAAACACGCCTAGCGAGGCGCCTAGCTCCTTCACCTCCAGCCCTGAGGACCGAGCAGGTAGGAACGATATGTAAGTCCGAGCCGTTCCAATTTTATACTTACCTATTCTATATGCTAGCTGTACGCCTATACTCGACTTCTAACATCAACTAACTTTACTCTTGTCTCATACATTCTATGCGACTAGGTTTACAGGTATTTCATTCACTGCATGCCCCTGCCGTAGATGCTCCGCAGCATGTTTGTCTTGCCTCGATGTTCCAATGTTTTTTGGTTTTCTCAATTGCGCACAACTGGTCCTGGGTCACTTATAGTATTAGTAAACCTTTTGGAGCTATTATAAATGTGTTCTTCCCGCTTGCAGGCAAGGATACAGTTGATACAGCGGCCAGTATGCCGGACTCGAGGCGATCGCGGTCAGCTCAGGGCGAGCATTCGCGACGAAGGAGTGAGCCTTTCGCCAATCACAGTATATCCCTAGACCGCCGGACGAGCCTCGACTCCTCAGCCCTGCGACCCGAGCACCTCACCCGACACGACTCCAAATCTTCCCTAGTATCATTACAAACCGAAAACAGCACAGACGAGGCGTTAGTCAAGTGCAAATATCCAAAATGCACATCTCGTACACCGTTAGCTGAAGCCAAACGGCATTATAAAACATGTCATAATTGCACCACAGTATACTGCTCGAAAGAATGCCGCAGAGCCCATTGGGAAAAACATAGAAAAGTCTGCTTGCACTCGCGCGCTAGTGCCCTTTGTAGACAGATCATAGCAGCTGCGAAAGAGGATGCGGCAGCCCTTAACCAAATAAGCAGTAAAGCGTATCAAGGATATCAGATGCAAGGCAGAGGCGTTGTTAAAGTGTTCTTTACAAGTCCAGAAGCGGCAGAGAAGTTTACAACACACGGCTACCAGTATCTAAGCGAGCCGGAGTTCGTGAGATTGACAGCCCTGCAGCCCAACGAAATGGGCGTAGAGTTATACACGGAGGTCGTGAAACTCTGTAAGAGTTATAATCCGGAGACAAGAGTCATACTGTACGTAGCAGTGTGTATCATCAGTGAAGTTCCAACGAAAGGGGCCGTCAAATGGGAAAGGCAAATGGTATCCAGGTGTGCTAAACTAAGGCTCAGCAAGACCGTCTCCTCCATGATACAAGAACAGAATAGAAGGAAAAAACGCAGAGAGAGTAAGAGTAGCCCCGAAGATAGAGAAACGTTAATACTCACTTCCAAGTTGTACAATGCGAGCGAGAAGAATGCAGCCACTGCCCACAAATTTAGAGAGATCTGCTTTAGGAATATATGCAGCGAGTTGGAGGGTAGGGGGGTAGTGTTGAAGAAGCATTTTCCAGAAGTGTATTCAAGGTTAGGGGCGTACGTAGACGGCACGTGCGATAGGTTCATTCCGATGACGATATATCCTAAGGACGTGAATAGTGGAAAGTCGTTTGTGTGTGTAATAATGCCAGATAGTGATGCGGACAGTGGGACGCCAGTGGATGGCAGGATCATGACGATCGATGTCGGAGTTGATCGGTCGAAACACCAATTATCCACGCCAATGTAGTAGCTTCAGCTAGCATTACGATGTTGGTACTTGCGCGTCTCACATTATCTTAAATTAAACAAAAATGTAAAATAGTATTCATAAACATCTTGATTAAAATACCTTATAATCATATAAATAGCTGAAATAGGACTATTCTTCTTCTTGGATTTGGAAGGAAATTCATTTGACAATGAAAACTGTAATATTTTTATTACACATGAGGGCATTAGGTATATTAATTAAAAGTAGATTTTATTAAATCTAAAGTTTATTCGTAATGATGTTATATTGTCTGTGGCCATTTTGTTAAGCTACTTGAGTATGGCGACACATCTCGAAAACCCAAGTAACATTCCAGTTTTATATTTAATGTTGATGCGTGCAAGTACTAATAATCTAATATAAACAATATTAGGTAGAGGTATGCATTTCATTTTATCAGTAAATTATTATAAAAATTGTATTGTATATGCGCGCAAATTCCTATTCTTATGATAGATTTATTGATAACCGATTGGAATAAATTTCAATGTATGTATTTATATAACTAATCTCGTATGATTGTAGTAATTGGTGAATCCCGTGCGCGAATTATTTTAATGTATTTTTATACATGCTAAGAGAAAGAAATTTTTAAATATGCTAAATATATAATGCAATTTAAATTCTTTGCAAGATGAGTACTATTTAATTACGATTATATAAAAAATACGGGTCGAACAGCCTTTATTCATTTAAAATGTTAATATCTTTATTAAAGTGATTCGATTAATTTTATGATGTAATTTTAAAATCACAAGACATTATGCCTTATCAAAAAATGATCTCAAAATAATTGTTATTTATGCAATTGTAGATGTTTATTAGTTAGGAAAATATCAAATTAAAAAATGTGTACTTCTTAAAGATTTGGTGGCGACCATTGTCTCTTCGCCTTTTAATATTTCCCTATTATTATAGACTATTAGTGTTAGGTCGCAGAGCTGATGTAATTTTTCGTGTCTAGAGCGCTCCAATGTACGTTATATTGCCATTCCAAAAAAAGTAATAAATTAAATACCATTCTTACCCATTTCATCATATATTGTGGTTGTACTGTGGCACAAAATTAATGGGCTTTTTATATCTTTTTAAATAACGGTGCCAATTTATTACAATATTGCATGAGAATTTGCGATCTGTTAATCATCACAAAAATAAGAATAATTCTAAGATATGTCGTTTTTTAGTTGACACAATAATTTTTATGAACGTTAGCTAAATAGGATTTTATAACATTGTAACGTACGACCATTTTAACTATGTTTAGGATTTTGAAATATGTTATGCATTAAATGAAACTGATATTGGTAGAACGAATAAAAGTCTATTGAGAGTGCGCTGCAGTCGTAAATATTGCTTTAGATATTGTCATTAAATATTGCAGTCTTAACGTTAAATAGTTGGAAATAATGTAGTCATCATTATGGTGTTCGATGTTTTTAACGAGCTGTTATAATCAGTTTCATTTAAAAGTACCTAATGCAGACTGTTTGCTTTTAAGTATTATAACATTTTACAACTATTATGGAAGCAAATAAAAAGATAATATTGCTTTGCTATAATTGTTCTTTTGTTTAGTTTATTATTTTATTCCGTTACACTTAACATAATGTCGTTAATGTTATACTAGTTATTATTAATGTTAACCATTCCATAGACTAAACTATCTTGTTATTTCCGCGACGTTAAATGAATTAAAATTAAGGACGTATAAAATTATGTGAAATTTTATGGTGAAACGTGTTCAAATATAGTCTGCTTATTCAATTGTGTCTCGGAAAAAGAGTTTGAATCTAGGTAATTCGTTTCTTGAAACTCCTCCTTAATAGGTACTTAATAAAAATTACCCATAAAACTGAATTGTACCTACTTCTCTACAATGTTATATGTTATGACCTTTTGTCTTAACTCATGACGTTGCTACTATATTATTATAATATTTCATACATTTATAACATTATGGATTATTATATGACTCTATCTATGGATAATGTTACCATATCAGTTATTTTTCATAGTTTTAATAATAATTTTTATCTAGTTGTCCCGTTAATGTATTCAAATAAATGGCCCAGCTAATATAAAGTGTTTTAATGATGAACATGATGTCTTTAAATAAATATAGAGAAAGAATATCCATGTCTCTCTATAATACCGTGAAAAAAATCTAGGTAATTTTTTTTTACTTGACTTATAGTGACAATTGTCAATGTCAACACTTCTATTTAGTGTCACACCAAATGTCATTCCATACACATTCATAAGTCACAACATTGAACATTCACAAATCAAAAATATTAACTACTGCTAGACGTGAAATGTGAAAAGTTGCGGAATCGGGAAGCATAAAGATATATTTAAATCCTAATCTTGAAATTTGACCGCGAAAACCTTGAACGCCCTGTTATCGTGCGAGTAACATAGGACCTTGTTGTGAAGAATCTTTATTCTGTGAAAGTATAATTATGGTGTCTGCTCCTGTATTATATGCGGCAGTGCCTATATCTTTAGCTGTTGCGTTGGGTTTAATACGTCGCTGGAGATCTCGAAACTGGGGAAAATGTTTAAGTAATACGTGTCTTAAAGGAAAAACTTATCTAATAACTGGCGCTAATAGTGGTATTGGTCTTGAGACTGCAAGGGCTTTAGTAAGAAGAAAAGCACGAGTTATTTTTGCGTGTCGCGATCTAGCAAAAGCAAAAAAGGTTGTTGCTGAAATAAAGAAAGAAGAGAACTATGGAGAACTTGTATGTAACAGTGTTAAAATCATCTTGATTTTATATTCCAATCAAATCTTCCTACCCAAATATTAATGTTAATATGCTATTGTCTTTCATATAACAAAGAATTGTGTATCTATCAATCAGTCTGCATAGGATTGTTATATGCAAACATAGTAGAATCACCTTGAACTAACTAAGGGCATTGAATCTGGTTAAACAATCAAATCATACTACATTTTTACACACTTTTGATTGTGAGAAAAAAGTTATTGTAAAATGTAATTTTACTGTTTGTTAGTTTATATTTCGATTATTGCCTGATTATATTGTTTTCAGATACCTATGCACTTAGACCTCGCATCTTTGGAGTCAATAGAGAAATTTGTTGAAGTTGTCAAGGTTGGGTTTCACAAAATCGACTGTCTCATTAACAATGCTGGCGTTGTGGTACCATTAGACAGAGACCAGAAAACTGAAGAAGGATTTGAAATACACCTTGGTGTCAACCACTTAGGTCATTTTTATCTGACAAAGCTTTTGGTCGACCTGTTGAAGAGAGCTGCTCCTAGTCGGTGAGGACTTACAACTTCTTTACATATCATTCCAAACTAAACTTACTATGGTAAAAATAACATTGGCCTTAAAGATATTTTTAGTTTTAGTTTTAATATTTAGAGGTAAAATGGCAAAATGTGTGTGCAGCGAAATTATCATATTATTAATATGAACTATGTTATTATCTAAAAGATATAGGCGTCATCTTGCCTAGAAAATGTTCTAAAACTTGTACGTAGAGTAGATAACTACGTAATTGTTAAACATAGTTAATTTTCTTATAAGGATGTCTATCAGCCTTTCCGGATTTTAAGAGTTAAAACAATTGTCTCTCACTATTTACATTGAATTAATGTTATTCATTTGTAGTTATTGCAGTATGAATGTGTATGTGCATTGTGTAGGTGATAACATGCCAATGAACTTAGTTGCATTTATTTGAATCTTGTTATTGTGAGTTTTAAACTGACATCTTATTATTGTTGGGAGTAATATTTCATTATTTTAAAATAGATTTGTGTCACAAAGTACAAAGAAAAGCTTTACAGACATTTATTTTAAAAGAAAAATATGAGAATGCTACATAAACACTGTCTGTTTATGCGAGTAGTACACATAAAAAACACTTTAACGGTTTCAAACGCGAAATATATTAGTTAAACTTGTTTACCAATTATTTTAACTACGGCCTGATGTTTCTGATGCTTTGCAGCATTAGCGATTCGTAAATAAGTTTCAGTAATGTATTTCGCATTTTATACCGTGACGTGACAAAAACAAAAACAAAATTTGTTTTCTAAACACAACTATCGCCAAGCAGATGGGGAATTATGAGAATAATATTTGTTTTTTTTTACCTTTGTCTTACAAATGTACAAGATTTATAAATAATCCACCAATGTCCATTAGATAATTTATTCATACTTTAATGCGATCAAAATTTGTATGAGCAATTTCAATACATACATTTAAGCGTAAGTGGGATGACGTCATAGAATGGGCAAAGGTCAATAATATTTGAAGACAGTAGATGTTTACAAAGTTCCGGCTTTATAATAGCCAGAAGTAAATAATTTAATGTTTAATAATATTACCTTTTAATTTCCTCTATTTTTTTTATTCCTGTGTATTAGATGGTATTAGTTGCCCGACGTTTAACGTTATGCAAGATAAATAAATAGGTATATTGCAGGTTTGTAAGGGCCATTTTCATTATAGGCGATATATATATATCATACGCACTGTGGCTGTGACCGCTAGCTGCTGCTATGCAAGGATGAGAGGAATACTGGTGCATTTTATTATACTATTCCTATAGTTACAATAATGTATAGATCTGACCGCCTTTGTAGTTAAATGTTTTAGCTAGAGAGGTCCGGGGTTCGAATCCCGGGGAAACAATAGTTTGTCTCGGTCGTGCAGGACATAGAGGTCAGATCAACTTGTAAATAAAACCGATCAGTGAAACGGACACAAATGTATTAACACGAATTTCACTATTACAATAAGATTTATTATTTTGGTGTTTAAAATTTTATAAAAAGTGCTTGATTCTAGTCCATTTTTCTCTTTGAAGGGTTGTGATGGTGTCATCTTCACTACACGAGCGAGGGAAGTTGAACTTTGATGACCTAAACTTAAGAGCTGAAATCGAAGCGGTGAAGAAAGGCAAAAAGGAACGCCATAACCCCGGCTACTGCAACTCTAAGCTGATGAATGTGTACTTTGCGAGGGGCTTGGCAGCAAGGCTGCAGGAATTTGGGGTGGATGTCAGTGCCTGCTGCCCTGGGTTCTGCTACACCAACTTGTTCAGGTATGGCTTATTTAAATAAGGCACTTTAACTGTTTAAAACGCGATGAATAGTAGTTAATCAACTGTCTGAGTCTCCTCGTGACCACGGCAAATCGTCGGGCCATTGTGTAAATAATTTTAAACAAGTTTAACTAATTTAACGGTAGAAGATTGTAATTATGCATTATGAAAGGGACACATAAGTGTGACTTTCTAAAATAAACGTTATCTGTTTTTGTAGAACCCTTCATGTGACTTTAGTTAGCCAATAATCTTAAACTTATAAATAAAATTGTTTATTGACGATTACTTGGAAATAACAGTCCCCTACAAAATAGGTAAAAAATTTCAAATGCTCAGCGAGCCAGATAAGTGTAGACCAATAAATCTTCTTATCTACGTTATGTCATAACCTTGATAAGTAAATCCTTGTGAATTACGGTGTGACGTCACGAAGTATAATAAAAATTTATGAATGAATATTAGCAACAATATGTTAAAGCATATTTATTATAGATCTTATCAATTGCATTGTTACTGCATCGTTATCATTCTCCTCATTTTTAAGTTTATAGGGCCTTAGATAAATTAAAAAACTTAGATACCTACAATATACCTTTAAGAATTTTATATTTTATTGCCTGTTAGATTAGCTTAAAATCTATACTAATATATAAAGCTGAAGAGTTTGTTTGTTTGAAGGGGCTAATCTCAGGAACAACTGGTTCCAATTGAAAAACTCTTTTTTATATATATATATAAATACATACGTACGCTGTGACTAATAGGAGCGAAGAAACAGCGGGAAATGTGGAATAAACGGGGAAAACTCTTCATCCTTGCGGGTTACCACTAAGCTGCGAAAACGGTTCAAGATACCCAAAAAATTATATATAAAAATATTCCTCTTTGAATGATCTAAAAAATTGTCCATAATACTATATGTCATCTTCTAAGATTAACTTGCAAGAACGACGAGACGCAGACGACATGGTGGGTAACGGCTCAAGTTTATAGAGTTGAACAGGGGATTTGCAAAAATAAAAATTTATGTCCAAAATAATTATTCTACGCGTACGAAGTCGCCTACTTAGCTAGTGGTTTAAAAGCCGGGCTCTTTTTCTTATTCCTTCGTAATTAGCTTTAGTCTGTTTTTATACCTTATTCTCTATAGAAAAAATAAATTTTAAATGTGTTGTGTATATAAGTCAATCGCGTTTTTCTAATTATAGATAGCACGTGTTATGTAACATATATAGCGTAGTCGTAGAATAAGATTGTAATGCTGAGTTTATTCTCGTATTAAATAATACTAACATAAACGAAAAAACTACAAAAACAGATGCGAAATATGATTCGGGTGGGCTCAAAACATAATGGAATTGATAATAGTAAGTTATTTAGAATCGCCTCAAAACTCATAATAATGTTTATTACATATAAAAGTTCTAGTGTTTTTATCGTCCCCTCTATGGGGGGGCGCGGGCCCCGGGGGGCCAAAAGCGCCCCTTCCCCCCGGGGGAAATTTTTTTTCCCCCCTTCCCCCCCCCCCGGAATTTTTCCCCGGGGGCCCGCCCCCCCCCTCCCCCCCCCCTTTCCCCCCCCAAAATCAAACCCCCCCCCCCCCCCGGTGGGGGGGGGGGCCCCCCCCCCCCCCCCCCCCCCCCCCCCCCCCCCCCCCCCCCCCCCCCGGGGCCCCCCCCCCCCCCCCCCCCCCTTTTTTTTTTTTTTTTTTTTTTCCCCTTTTTTTTTTTTTTTTTTTTTTCCCCTTTTTTTTTTTTTTTTTTTTTTTTTTTTTTTTTTTTTTTTTTTTCCCTTGTCTGTAGTTTACACGAGTAGTACTCATTGAATTAAGACACTTTTAACTGTTATAAAACAAATACTTAAATAACATTCCAATCGGGTCGCAGTCATACCTATTAAGTTAACTGATATTTTACGTGTTTTAAACCGTTTAAAGTGTTTATTGAAATACAGATACTTCAGATACTTTACAGCAGCCATGCAAGCTTGTTAGTTTTTACAAATAAATGATGTTATAAAATTGTAATCTTTCAGATCGTTCGTCAAATGGTATCATTACATTCTCTTCGCGCCAGTGGCACTACTTTTCATGCGATCAGCCAAACAGGTACAAAGTTCAACAATTAAATTATAGTTTTTGTTTGTTTGTTTCAAAGTCGAATGTGCTAACGTAAAGGGTTTAATTACTTTGTGAGTAAGCTGACAACTCATCTATTGATATTTACATTATTGTATATTATAAACAAAAAAAAAAAATAAAAAATTTATTGTCACAAGAATATTACAAAAAGATTAAAATTTTGAAGCATATTGAGAAAAAAATAAAAGTAGCGAGAGATGGCGAGCTTATTCTAAAAAACGTGAAGATGGAGATTTACAATAATAATTCACTACTAAAAAAGATATAAATTAATATAATGTTCTGATATAAGGGTCTCTACCATTAGTCTCGAGGGTTCTGGGTCACTTTCTTAATTTATACTCATTATAATGCTATGCAATGCTAATTATTATAATGTCTAGGTTTATTATTACGACGTTTATAACTAGAATTGTGTTAGTTTTTAGAATACATAACTCTAGAATCGCGGGGAGCCGCGGGATCACGTCCGTCCATTGTACAATTTTTGATGTAATTCTGACTGGATCTTATCTTTGAGACCTTTATCTATTCACTATATTTCATTACAGGGTTCCGAAACTGTGGTATACTGCGCCACAGACTATGGTATTGAAGGTCAGACGGGCAAATTTTATCGTGACTGCGAGGAATACACTTCAAAGTATCCATTCACACGCGCTGAAGAGGAAAAGCTTTGGGCAGTCAGTGAAGAAATTATAAAAGCCCGCAGACCGCTATAGTGGTATATGTAATTATAGAGTGATCTAAGATCGCACAAAAAACATATTTTTACAACCGGTCTGGATAATTTTGAACCTATCAACCGCCAGGATAATAGTATACATAATTTAAAAAAAAATCAGTTTTAAGGAATACTTATTGTGATTTGAGTGACCAAAATCGATTAAAGGGTGTTGAATATTGACCTTATGGCACGGTCTACCAAACAAAAACGGAGTTCTAAAGAAAAATATTTTTTTTTCACCAATATAAAAAGACTGATAGCGTCAAAAGTGTTGTACGCGACTCACAAATTACCCTACTCGGCTACAATAGTTAACATATTTATACACACTATGCATAATATTGTAGCAATAAATATCTATAAAGGAAAACAGTGTTGGGTCCCTCGAGCCGGACATATGCTCGGATGCGAGTGTTAATCAATAAATCGTTATTAAGTTTTACTTTGTATGATGTCGTATAGATTTAAACTTTAAGTGAAAATTTAAATCTCATTTAACTTATGAAAATTAAATAAGGGAATATTTTAAAAAGAGATAAATTATTATAGTTATATTTTTTAGAAGTAGTACTCTCGAATCCCTACTGGTGTTTTAGTTACCATTCTTGTGTCTGTACGCTGCAGCGTATAGGCAGGAGGATATATAAGGTGTGATTTTCTATAGGTAACGGTAGATTCCAGAAAATTATAAACAATTATTAAAATAAAAACTTTTGGGTATTCATTTGTTTTATTCAATACAAATTCTGCTTTCCTCGTAGGTATCACAGCTAAAACTTGAAATAAGTGCATTTGTGCTAATAAACATATAATAAAATACTAAATTATTAGTAAATAATAAATGTATTCACAACATGTATGTAATTATAAATGTTTTAAAAGCTTTTTGGTACAAGATTTAAACATACTCAATACTATTATGTATTAGTTAAGACATTTTGTAAGCTATTGCTTAGGCCATAAAATGTAGACACTTTACCTTTTATAACATTAATTATTAATCTAAAATCTTTAACTGTGCTATAGGAGTAGGGTAGGTTATTATATTTCTACAAGATCTTATCTGAGTGAGATGGAGGGTCATTCTTTCGCATTTGAAGTAAAAATTTGGACTTGGAGGGTACACCGTACTGATAAAATGCGGGGCAGATTTTTATCAAGATAGCATTGTACGATTAGTAATTCTCTATTTCTATAAGATTCCGCATAAACTTTTCAAGATAAAGATTTTATTAATATTCTCCTACAGAATATCAATATATTTCGCATATAAGAATTATGACAACTTATAGTGGGAGTATAATACTATTAAGAAAACTGTTGACAGGTTAAATCTGTACATTTACAGTATATTGAAAAATTGTAGGTCTAAGGAGATTTGGTTTCTAAAACAAAAGTTGTTAACATTTTATTATACATGTGCCGTAACCGATGCAAAATATTAAGATGGGATTTATATTACTAAACCTAACTATTCATTTTAGTATAAATACCGTAAGTATTTATATATTATCCTTTGATATTTTTACTCCGCGTCTATTGGCAAAGCAGAGATTATTCGCGCTAAAATTAGAGGTTTTTTATGTTTACAACTGTAGGTTTAGTTTAAATGTAATCAGATGAATGCAAAACACAAAAATTGATGATTTCCTCTATGTAGTTTACATTTGTTTTCAAAAGGCATAATTATAGCAAGAAATTATGATTTAAGGACAATTTACAGTTTAGACAATGTTTATCGTCCCAGATACTAAAAACAAAATTGTTTCCTAATATGAAATATATATATGAGAATATTCTAAAGAAGAAGTCTATTTAAAAAGTATCTTAAGCTCAAAAAACTATATCAATTGGTCGAGAAAGCAATCTGGATAGCAAAAAAACGAATTTAAGTTAAATAAATATATTTATCAAATTGTATCAAAAACTGTCGAAGTGTCGTTCTTAGACAGCTTTACAATCTTGAAACCTGAGGCGCTGGGTTAGAATCGTTGCTTTGCCAACAGGATACATGAGAAACTTCTACTTTATTTAATATAGGACTACCCTCCTTAAATATAAATGCCATATATTATAATTAAACAACCTTTATATTGTAAAACTATTGTAATACCAATACAGTGCAATATTTAAACTCTAACATACCACTTCACAAGAGGTAGATTTGAAATACAAGCGACAAGTCCGATATCTTGTGATCATAAGAGCTAGGCACTTTATGGGTTTACTGTTCTTAGTGATATGTTTGCTTAAGGATTTGTTACCTCTAGAATGAATCATCTATTAATAATTACCATCTCAATTCTCTTTCATAACGGATGAGACAAATAAGGATTAGATTCACGCAAACATTCAAGCGCCATAACAAGATGGCAATAGACATGGTATGCTTTTGGACTTTTGAAATTTTATAGGCTAAAACCAAAACGATCGGCGGACGAAAGCATCGTGTTATCCACCTATTTAATGTCCGGATTTTCCAGACCATGGCTCTTACGTGTTCAGAAAATTTGGAAATCGTTTACGCGCATTGTATACTTACATTTAAATAATACACTCGTCACAGTTCTAAACGCGAATAATATAAGTTAAGCTTACACGTGATTTATTTAAACAACGACCCGAGCTTTGCCGCAGTCAGGACCACTGGGGGACTGAAGATGGAGGGTGGGCCTAATGTCAAAGTCAAATCTGCTACGCTAGCGCCATTGCTTCTTATTTCTTTGGACTGTGATTTCTTTTTTCGATTAAACCGTTAAGTGTTTCATTTAAAATTAACTACACAAGCATATGACAGAAGTAGTATACAGTATCACAACCAAAAAGCGAAAAAGCTTATCTAATCAAAGTTTTTGCATTCTATCTCATCGATTTTTTAGATTTCCTTTTTTTTGCAGTAATTTTCTTTCCTTCTTGGCTCGTTGTGCCTATTACAATAGTAGTAAAGTCTATGCAATTAGTAAAACTACACGGGACTATTAAGGACGTTTCTATTTGTAGAACCCCCTTTTATGTTTGAAATATATGCAGAGTATAAAGCCAGATAATAGAATCAGTGCTGCTAGTGTTCGAGCTCACCGGCTTTTGTTGACTAAGAAGAGATTCTTTATCATTTTAATCATCAATGAAAACACAACATTGCAAAATGGTCGCCGAGCCTTACAAAAAAAAGCTGCTTACCACTATAGTTGACGTGTAAGGCGAAAACTGCTGGAAATGGAAAAACATCTAAGCTCTTTACAAGTAACATCCGTTCCAAGTGAGATACAGACACAAGTTGACAAGCCAATACACACCAATGACACACATTTATGTGTTATATTGTGCGTATATTTATTATTGGTTATTTTTTGTAAGTTACTTTTAAACAACTTTAATTTTAATTTATTGTTTGCATTGACGTGCTTTTTAAATGAGGGAGCTAAATATTGCGCGAATTTACCCGTTCTATTTTAAGAGTTTTAAATAAGGTAAGCTCTAAAAAGAAATAACGTCATATAATCCATTAGTCAACTTTGGGATCTATGTGCAAACCAAATTATAATCCCCCCTGCGTTTCTTATCTAATTGCGAGATAAATTGTATAAAAAAAACATATGGTTTATTGTCATTGTGTAAAGCGCAAAAATTATAATAGAAAATGTTTCGAAATGGGTAACTTAATGTTAAATAATTTATATTTAATCATATTATAAATTAAGTAGAAAATGACACGGGCGGAATTCGAATCGCAAAACGTAGCTTATCGGCTCTGCCAATTGAATCTAACGAAACGCCTATCGCAGGTTCGAATCGCGCCTGCGTCATCAACTTCTTTAATCATTGAAAATTGTAGCAATAACTTTTTACTCCGCTCTTGCCCTTCGACATGCATATAAGACTATATTTTAAGACAGAAATTAAGATCACAGCACAATAGTGATTTTTGTCAAACCAGCTAGTGTATGTGTGAGCCCCAGAGTTTCAAAGGTGTAAAGAATCACACACATTAAGAGAATGTAAACCTTTGAAAAATTAACCATTTATTCACATGAAGGCATTATATAATTTAAAAACGAAAATAAATTAAAAAAATTTTCGACTCGGGCGGACTTGAACCGGCATCATCTGCTTTCCGTGCTGTTGCTCTACCAACCTTTAAAAATCTGGGGCTTACTTGTTTTCCAGATTTCTATGACTTGTGAGCAAACATATAGTCTATCGTGCTATATCGTGCATTCAACCTTATCACACGTTGATTCGTTTTTTATCGACTGATAATTGCAAACATTTGTCTCAATGTTTGTTTTTATTCAATTAATAAATAAACAGATCTTGTTAAAATTCAACAGTAACCTAAAGCATAAGTAGCTGATGTCTTATCCTCATATAGGACTATCGCTGGCGCTTTAAAATCACTTTTCCCAAAAACATAATCTAGTTAATCGTGTTTTTCGTTCAGTAAATAATAGTATTTCTTCGAAGGTCATTCAAGGTCAACTCAAGTGCCGATATGCAATTCAACGAATTTCCTGTTTATTCCTATAGCAATAAAGCCTATACTTCCATGAATCGAGAGCAACAAGTCGCCCGCAGACCGCTGGATGTTGACGAACCGTGTAACGTCACAGTGTCTGGATGGTGAAGCATACGAAGTTCCTTTTCAGCTTTTTCCTCAAGTGTCGTCCATCTGTAAGTTAAAAATCTATTATTGAATTACTGTTATTGGACTAAAAGTTAGCCTGTGTATATGTAATCTATACTAATATATAAAGCTGAAGAGTTTGTTTGTCTGTTTGTACGCGCTAATCTCAGGAACTCCTGGTTCGAATTGGTAAATTATTTGTGTGTTGGTAGAACATTTATAGAAGTAGGCGCTGATGATGTCGTGGGTAGCAGCCTAAATTTATAGTTAGCAAAAACAAGCTTTGACGCTTAAAATAACTATTTTACACGAACGAAGTAGCTGGCACAGCTAGTGCTTAATAAACTGCAAATAACAACGTCCAGAATTCACAAGTCTATGACAGATCTAGTTTTGTCTGATAAAAAAAAACGTGTTATAACGTGCATCATCAGATTATTTCCGTTAATTCAGCCATTTGGTCGTTAAGGCTAGAGATGCAAATTAGAAAACTTTTCAAAAGTTTTACTTGTCTTATAGTTTTATGAGGTAGACCATATACATATAACATCTTCTACTTTGGGGAAATATGGATGATAAGGTCAGCACTCAGTCCATCTCTGGCCCTAAAAATAATGAAACAATAATTTAAAATAAAATATACCTTTGTACTGCCATTGAGAACGCCTCAACCACATTATTATCTGTTTTAGCAGATGTTTCAATGTATGTGCCAATTTTATTTTGTTCACACCATTGCTTTAGTTGATCATATGACACCTCTCTGTCTTTTGATGAAACATCTGACTGGAAGCAAAAAAATAACAATAATACAAGTGCAAATTATACTGACGATAGCAGAAAATACTTTTTACTCTATTATCCAGACATTTAATCATGAACAAACTTCAATTAAACATGTTTATATAAAGTTGCACCTTAAAACCCATAGACAGTTTCTATTATATTTAGCAAATATATATTATTGTAAAAGGAGATGGAAGGCCATTCTCGACTAAGTGATAAAAAAAGTGACATCAACTTCTAATAAATGAATATAAAAGTGACATGATACACACTTTAATGTTTGTAGTTATTATTTCATTGTCTACATAATTAATTTTTATGATTCACAAAACTATTTTCAATTGTTAAAACATGTTACCTTATTTCCAACCACAACAAAGGGAAATTTTTCAATTCCATTCTTAACGCCAGCATAATGAAGAAATTCATTTAACCATGTTTTAATATTATTAAAGGAACTACGGTCATCTATAGCATATGCCAATATGCATATGTCTGTGCCACGGTAAAATGGTGTTCTGAGTGACTTAAACCGTTCTTGGCCCGCTGTGTCCCAAATCTAAAATAAATATTAAGTCAGTCTTGTCCAATACTCTATATTTTTTTTAACAAATTAGTCTTTTAATAGATAAACACAGACAATAATATAAATTGTATTATTGATTAAGTATTTTGTTTTTTATCAATTTCTGGGTTTCAAACCTGCTGTGTGTAGTTTTAATGTATTATTCCCCTAATAGTAAATGTAGAAAGGCAAGTTTTACAAATTAGCATGACATTTATAATGGTAATTAGCTTTGGTTGTAAAAAGCCATTAAGAATGAATTCTTGATTATTATACAAGATTAGATAATACCTGCAAAGTATACTGCTTTCCATTGACTTCTATCATCTTATTCATAAACTCCACGCCTATCGTGTGGAAATTGTGATCATCAAAGTGATTAGATATAAATCTACTCATTAAACATGATTTCCCCACTCCACCGTCACCGAGAATCACAATTTTCAACAAGACGTTTTTATTCGTCGTCCTCCCATAATTCTGATCGTTATCCTCTACCATTGTGGCTATGTTATTGTCATAATAGTCACAAGTTTGCTTCTTTTATTGCAACAGCCTTGAGTCGAAGTAAATGTGTTTGTTTAATTAATGACGCCTATTTAAAGATATCACTAACACACAATCTGTATTAAGGCTGCATTCTACATAAAACAGTTTTTAAAATACAATAACAATAACCAAGACGCGACGTAAAAGTAACTACAGCTTATTTTATAATAAATAAATAAAATGCAATTAACGAAACACAAATCCAACACTACCAACAAGAAACAGCTGTTGTCTGACAGCAACTGACGCAATGGCGCAAGACGAAAAAATATTCGTCTGTCAATCAACGCACGCTAATGTCAATTGTCACTCAATCAATTGAAACTATTTTGACCAAGATTAAAATTTATTTAAAACTAATTGATAAAAATTAAAAATGTAGTCTAATTTAAGGTAATAATATAATTTTTCGAAGTATTTTCAGTCACTAAAGATAAAAAAAATATTTGTTTTGTTGACTGTGCAGAGATGGCAGTAAAATATACTACAAGTTTATTTTACTGGGACGCGCTCTGTTGAATGTTGCCTTGATGCCACAGATTACTAACATCGTGCTTATTCGAGTTTCACGGATTTGTGGTTTACACTTTATTCCGCTTTGTTTTGCGGAGGTGAGAGGACATATTGTGTTATTGTTCATTTCGAACGTTGTTTTCAAATGTTTTTCTTGTTTTTTAACATTTCGTGAGTGAACTGATAGAAAATTGTATACAGCGAGTGTTGTTAAGCCGGAACATAATTAGTGTAAGTGATGATGATGAGAACTAGAAACTTTTGCGCAATAGTTTAAACGATTCGATGTCAATAAACTTGTCGGTGATATTTTATGGGAAAGGTGTGCCGCGTCGCTAAATACCTGTTCGCGGCGACAGGGTGCATGAGTTCGGGTGAGGCATAGGCGCCAAAGGTGGCTGTTACAGATGCGAGGTGAGTGAAATTAGGTGGTCTGGGCCGGCGATGGGGGAGCCGCGCGGGACGGGCCGCGTGCATTCACCTCTGACCCGCGCGGGACGATCGGCACTCAAGGTCGGTGCGCCGCCTGAAGGTCGCCCGTCACGTGACGCAAAGGGTGTCTCACCCCCAGACTTGTCAGTCGCGTCCTTCGTTCGGATAGTCGCGTACACAAGTGCAAATTTTTCTAGAATTACAGAAACATTATCGTATTTTTTCGGTGTTCTGTTCCACATGTAGCGATTGTCTGTCAAATGGAATATGGAATTGATAATTATTTAAAATTTCGTACTTTATTATGTTATTACCTAAATTTCTGTATAAAATGGAGTGATTAACGTAACGGTAAGCAGTTTTGTATGAAATAAAAATTTGCCGCTGGCGAAAGTTGTTCTATAAGCAATTAATTGCGTTGTTTAAAAAAAGATTGTTGAATTTCATTTTTTAACGGAATAAATACAGTTATCTTATACATATAAATTAAAAACCTATTTTAAAATTAAACTCTAATACTACCCAAACCATGTTCTCTAATTCACGTATTTAAGATAAATAAATTAGAAGTTACATTTAAGCTTTTGGCCATCAAACGCAGAATGCTTTTAAATGTTTTGGTAGATCGGGCCTCACAAACGGCCAGACGTGTTCACCGCAAAAACTTGCATATCAAGGTCTTTATATATTCTATACAAGCTATACATGCTTGAAACGAACTACCAATATGTATAATGGATTTATGAATATTAATGGTATGAATATATCCATATGAATAACATTAGTGATCAAGTCAGTTTATCAAAAATTAAAAGCTTACATTCACTATCTTCGATATGTTTATATAATTTGCAATAAAACAGTTTTTTAAGAATCTTATTAGATACGAAATTATTGGGACACTTTTCTACGAAAACAATTAGAGTTGTGATTTTTAATGACAGAAGACAGACAAGGACCTTAAGATAATCTCATGTGCCTTGATTTAAGGCCCACTTTCAAAGAGGAATTTATTAATTGATATTTAAATAAAGTGATTAAAAACTGTCCACCTATTTTAGCTTTGAATAGACTTGAGTACCATTTCTTTACTTTTCCAATATTTTGTAAAGATGAGAGATATTCCTTTGTATTTTTAACATATCAGCATCTGAAGAGACAACAAAGGGTTAGTTAATACCTGAAGTAATCCTGGGTTCGAATCCCGACGACTGTATCACTTAGAAAAACCATGACGTCGATTAATTGCACCATATAACAATTATACCTTGCGTTCTAGACAGACACACCTTCTTATATTATGCTAATCGTTTCGACAGACCGCGATTAATGTGTGTGGGCAATTGCAGAACATAACATAGTATGTTATATATGTATACTATGTGTTAATGTAACGGTTTTCATTCAGACGCCTGGCCATACATGTTCACGATATTATGCAAAGTAGGAGGTTGCATTTTGAATAGTGATGCCGGAGTTATAAGTTCATTGCTTTGAGAAAACTGTAGGTGGTATTGTAAAAACTATATTCTTTATAAGTATGTATATTTACATATTAAACTAGTTGTGCCCGCTTCGATCGCGTAGAATAGTTATTTTGGCCATCAATATTAGTTTTTGCAAACCTCCTCATTATTATTTATAGCTGTTACCCACGACGTCGTCCGCGTCCCGTTTTTCTTGTGATTTTTTCGATGGATTAAAACTAGTAGTTCCTGAGATTAGCGCGTTCAAACAAACAAACTCTTTAGCTTTATAATATTAATTAGTATAAATTGCTCTAGTGCTCTTTTGATCTAGGTGGTCAGTAGCTTTAAAAAATGATCGTTAATTTAGTGGCGGTGGTCATGAAAAAGCTAACCATATAATTAAGCATAAGCAGGGGTCTGAGCTCTTGCACTCCCTTCCATTAGAACAGACTAACGAGGCAGACAAACGGATCTAAGACTTTGTATTTATAATATATTAGGAACTATTATTGTGACTCAGATGAAAACAATCTAGAATCGTTAACAGAATTCGAGGACTAAGCAAATTTTATCAAAACACACATCGGCCACCGTTCTCAGGTAACAACGGTGTAATTGTAAAATGAATGTCGAAATAGGATCTCAACTCATTGTTTGCTCTCCACCGGATGAGATTGATTAACCGCAAAACAACTGTAATAATTAGATTTTTATTTACATACAGTTAAACAGAAAAAAAGCAGCCTCAGGCTTATATAATTAAAACACATGTTTAAACTAATATTATAAAGCTGACGAGTTTGTTTGAACGCGCTTATCTCAGGAACTATTTGTGCGAATTAAAAAAAATATTTTGTATTACTTGGACCATTTATCGAGCAAGCCTTCTGGCTCTAAAACATCAGGCTGCGACCAATAGGATCGAAGGAACAGAGGAAAATTTGAAGATTAGGGAGAAAATTATTCGGGGATCGGTTGTGTGCGCTGTGGAAACGGGTCAAGAAATCAAAAAAATATTTCTGAAATAATGATTTCTCTTTAAACGATCTAAAATATATCGTGACAGCAATTTATAAAAAAGAGCTTTGATAAACCTAATGTTAACGCCTAAAACTATTCTACACAGACAAAGTATCTAGTTATAGATATAAAGACGATAATTTAGAACTAACGCGTTGTTGCAACGTTGGTTAGAGTTAGTAACTTAGTTATTCAACTAAAGTCTTTAAGAAAGATAAGTACTATTAGAAATACAATACATACAAAAGTGTTCGCAACGGCCTCGAGTTTTATATGAACAGAAATAGTCACTTGGCATTTTGTCTGTACAAATTCACGATGCGGCAATAATTGATAATTAATTAATTTAAATTCAAACTGATCTACATCCGTGTATACAGCAAAAAACCTGTGTTATGTAAAACAAAACACCGAGTCGATTTGACGTTGTCCAGGTTTTTTAAAATTATAATTACGTTGCCAATTTAATAATCTTACACCTGTCTTATGAGTCATATTCAAATATCACGTATCAGGTACCTTTTTTACTTAACTGTGAATTAAATACCAGATTTGGTCACTTCGCTCTGTAGGCATGGGGCGAACATGCTTTTGGATCCGTTTCACCGCTAATTGTCTGTAGTTTACACAAGTATACATTTAAATCAAACTAGAAATATATTAGCTGCCTATTTTCCAACTATTTTAACAACAGTCTGACATTTCAAACTTTGTTCCCCCCGTGACTACGACTGTTGCAAAGTTAACTAATATATATTGCGTTTTTAAAGCGTTACAAGTTTATTTAAAAGGTAGGTAGTTGCTCAGACGTCTGCACCCTATCAATGGAAAGTATCTTTTATATTTTGGGATACAAAACCGAAATTTCGCAACAAGTTCAATCGATGAGTATCATAATATATATAATTTATAATATTTTTGGGGTTATCAAGAATTAAACGACCTTGTCGAATTCCTGACACGTGTTATGTTTAACCTGAAAATTAATCACTATTACAGATTATCACATATTTATTTATTTAACCACATTTGTTTATACATAAAAACATTAAACAAACAGACACCAGTTAATATTAACTAACGATAACCCAAGTCATAACGCAAGATATACGAAGGCCTTGCAAAATCACGGTGGGTCGTAACGTAAGTATAATGTGCGCGATTGTACTCTCCCTGCTTTCTCATTTGACTGTGTGCGTCGCGGCCGGTGACCTTGCTATCAGGCGGAAGCGTACGGCCGTGTGAGTCAGCGCGCGTCTGCTAGCTACCTATGAAGTATGCTATTTGGAGGGGGAAGGGGGACCTTTGTGATCGTTTTTTTGTTTCTATATGAACGAAATTATCAACATTCGTGGGATATAGAGTTTTTAACGTTACAGAATCTGTGCTAATATTATAAAGCTAATATCAGGATCATATATGATAGAAAGATTCCTCTTTTAACGAACTACAAAAAAAATCGCCGTCGCCTATCTTTAAAAATGTGCTTACAAGAACGACGGGACCCGGACGACGTCGTGGGTAATTGCTAAAATTTAAAAAGTTGAGGTTAGCAGTAACGAATTATATAAGGCACTCGTATCGAGCTACACTCGTATACTATAAGTCACAGAATACAGTTTAAATCGCTTTGGTCGCTTTAGCGATTAAATAAAACAATTTTAACTGTTAAAAACATGACAATTCAGTCAATATGTCGTTAAATACAAAACGTTACAGATGTTGTATTCGTGATGGTTCGTGACTGTGGCTGATGAAAAGCATCTGAAAAGTTATGCCGTAAAAGTAAAGTAACTAATATATGACGCCTTTAAAACTGTTCAAAGTGTTTTATTTAATGTATTACGTAAGGAAACTTTGATGATTGGTTTTTCAAATTTAATACTGATAACAATTCAACGTTGAGTAGTGAAAAATAGTTAGTTTTTTATTTTTATAATTAACCAAAGCCTTCTAAATGAATAGGTTTTATCATTAGATGTAGACAGTAACTATTGATCAACGTATTTTTTGTATGGCATATAATTAAAGGCATGTGACGTCACAATTAAAATTTTAAACATCGCTTCAAAGGATTTCGATTGTTCCTACCTTGGGTCGTTCGATGCTCAACTTTTTAAAATGGCCTTCATTGGCAGGAAGCGTGACGTGTTATGGAAATGAAGCTTTGTGCCAAATTACCATTTATATTTTATCGAACAAAATGAACTAAGTAATCGTTTTAACTAGATGCGCACGCGGCGTTACTTGCCCTACAAGAACTTATTCCAATAACATGTACTATAAACAAAATGACTATATGTGTTTTTGAAAATTTCAAAACAAAGATAAGTACAGTCTGTAGTTTGCGCAAGTAGTGCGAAATATGATTTTTCTCTCATTTAGTTAAACCATTTAGGTGTGAAAGAGTAACATACATGCTTTATTTTCCTTGGAATTTTTCTTGTTACCCGCACAGACGGTTCTTGTTAATTTTAAATGGAACGACATACGCTGACCTGGAAAAATGCGAAACATTGGCGACAACGCCATCTCTTGATGATTTCGTTAATGTAAAGTAAAATTATAAAGTTTTAATTTAGCAGTTTAAATACTTTGTATTTAAACTGCTACGTTTGTACGTTATGTTTTTATGCTGTTCCACTAGATTATTTTTACAGACAGGTGAGTCACAGTTTTGTACACGACCGTTAGTAATCCAGGAAAGGGGGGGAAGCTGTTAGAACCCATCGTTCTAACAGCTTTCCCCCCCC